TAAGCTAAGAGTAGCAAAAGTTTAGCTAAAAATTGGAAAACACTAGCTAAAAGAAACAATATAAAGCAGTAAAATGCTAGCCAAATGCTGCAAAGGATAGCTAAAAGCTCATCTAATCCATAAAATAGTTAAAAACAAACTAGCGAAAAGCTAGCTTTAAGCTAAAAAAAATTGTAGCAAAATGGTTACAGGATGCTAAAAGTAACAAAAAAGAAAACTAACAAAAAATAGTAAAACTCTAGCTAAGAGCAGCAAAAAGCTATATGAAAATAGCTAAACACTAACTAAAAGCTAAGAGAAACAAACCACTACGTAAAAGCAGTATACTAGCTAAAAGAAAGATATTAATAGCTAAAAAGAGAACAACAGTAGCTAAAAGCTTTAAGGTGCACATCAGCTTAGTAAAGTTTTGAAAGCAGAGGTATCAGACCTTCACTGCACAATCCCCCCTTCCTGTCCACGTCGTAGTTAGAGGTGGTGGCGCACCACTTCCTGCCGTCGATCCTTCCCTCTGTGGTGCACTCTGTGTACGACTTCTTCAGGAAGGTGAAAGGGAACACACACGCCTTTTCATCAACCGTCACTAAAAACACACATACCAAAAAAATGGCTCCTTTAACTAAATTGTTTTTCTTCTGTTCTAATATAAGGTTGTCCCACAGGAGTTTATTTTTTTCAACCTGCAGACCACAAACACATCACAAGCTGATGCCTGAAAGTAAAACCAGACCTGGAGGGCAGGGGTCTCCTCCACCATACTGCATCAGCACCGCCTCCTCTTCGTGTTTGTAGTCCATCGCCATGACTTTACTGATGCCGAACGATGATGCGGATTTGTCAGAACCAGAACCAGACACCAGACAAATGGCGCTCTGAGTGCAGGCCTGCTCTTCCACTGAACCGCAGACATGGATGTGATACATTCCGGACGCCCCTTCAACCTGGAAAACAGTCACATGGTTTTTTTTATTTACTATTTAACCTCAGCAGAACAAAATAACCCCTTAACCTGCAGGCCTAAAATACCAYAAAATGCCTTAMAAAGTACACACAAATTGCTCCTGAACCCTTTAGAGYAAATTCACAAGCTTGGTCTCTTTTTAAAGCTAATAATCTGAATTTTTTACTTCAGCAGTCATATTTTTTGTAACTGTAACTAGTATTTAATGTAATGTAGGGCTGTGTATTGGTAAGAATTCAGCGATACGATACATATCATGACAGAGGGGTCACGATTCGATATATCCC